CCAAAATAATACTTCATCTCTAAGTTTCCTTGGTCACATGTTTTACCAAAACAACAGAAAAGTAGCTAATACAGAAGTGCCTTGTCTTGGGCAGATTACACCTTCCGTAATAATTCTGAGTCAAGAATTGCTGTTTCAAAATACTCTGTGCAATTCTCTCATTTACCTTGGCAAAGGTCATCTTAACCAAATTCTTTTAAATGTGCAAAACCCGCAAAGGCCCTGGTACTTCTCCCAAAAGCATGTGTCATACCCTCTGGGAAATCCCTCTCTGCTTGTTATTTAATTCCAAAAGGGGAAATAAGTGTGTTAGTTTGTTTGGCTACCCATTGCTTAGGGTAGTGAAATAAGTATGCCATTTTATTCAACCACCTTCTTGCCTGGGTCAAATCTCTGTGCTCAGAGCAATAATAAAAGATCCCTTTGTTTGGTGTGAACCTAACTTTGTCTGCCCCAAGAGCCATGGAAACCCAAGGGTTTACAACCAACCTTTTAAGATGTCTCCCACCTGCAATGTCTAGTTTCTACTGGAAACTGAGAAATTCTTGTTATTAAGTTCCCAAGGCTTATGCTGCTTTGGAGGTTGTCCTGGAACTTGCTCTGTAGACCAGGCTGGCCTTGTGCTCACAGAGATCCGCCTGCCTCTGCCTCTGCCTCCAGGGTGCTGGGATCAAAGGTGTGTGCCACCAACACCCTGCTTCTTTATATATATCTTTTCAGAAGCATTTATTTATAAAAGCTTAAAAATAAACAACTGTTAAGAGTCCTGGACCAGACTACTCAAGTTAAGCCTAAATGCTGCCCTCTGTCCATCCTCATAGTTAATTTTGGGCTCTTAGCTTTCTAAGCGCGCGCGCGCACACACACACAGAGAGGTGTGCAAGGTGGGAGGGAGGAATGGAGGGAGGGAGGGAGGAAGGGAGGGAGGGAGGGAGGGAAAGAGAGGTCACCTAAGGCCTTCCTGAGTGTCTGAATTCCAGGCAAACGACTCTCACTACTCCAAGGAAGCCTACAGACTGCAGGCTGCCAGACTCTAAGGCATCTCCACCTTCTCACCTAACCCACATTCCACATTCTCAGAGCCTCAGTTTCCTTCCTCTCGAAGCCCTCTACCACCTGGGAATCAGGGACAACCTGGCTGCAGCTTGTGCTGTCAAGTCTTCTCTTTTTCTGAGTCCTGCAAGAAGGGACTTCCACTCTGCCTTGTGGGACTGAACTCCTTTAGAGCTTCCAACATTTTGCTGTTGTTTTTGTGCTTCCCAGGCCAGAGACCTTGCATGAATATGCCCTGTTCTGCAAATAATGTTTTGTTTTAAAGTACCATGCTGTACAGCATTGCATGTTCTTTGTTTTCTAGAGATAGGGTCCTGCTATGTAGCCCAGGCTAACACTGACCCTGAGATCCTCTTGCTTTGGTCTGAGTGTTGTGTTGTGGAATATTTGTACACTGTGTGAAAATGTGTTGCTGTGATTTATAAGAAGGTGAAGCTAGGAGGAGGTAAAAGGGAGGACTTCCAGGGACAGAGAGGACTCTGGGAAGAAGAACGGAGGAGATGCTATGAGACAGGCAGAGGAAAAAGGAGGTGTAAGATGGAAGAGAGATAATGCCACATGATAGAATGTAGATGAATATAAATGGGTAAGGTACAAGAGCTAGTTAGGAACAGGCCTAAGCTATAGGACGAACATTCACAATTAATAAGAAGTCTCTGTGTCATTTCTCTGTGCCAAGAGAAAAATCTGCCTACAATGCTGGGGTTACAGATGTGCAAAAGATGTGTTACTTTTTCGGAGAGAAAAGTAACTTCACTTGATGACTGTTTGTTGGCTCATTTTCCACAAGTGATCTAGAGGTCACTGTAGATGGAATGTTTGTAAATAAACTTTCCATGTAATTTGAAATTTTTTTTTTACTGGCTTGCAACTCAGAGTGCTGGGATTCGAGTGTGCCAGTACACCCATGTAAGATGAAAGTTAAAAGTTATGTCAAATTACATAATACTGGGATAAAGTCTGAATGATGCTGAATTCTCTCCCCCTTTTCATTCTCTTTCGTTTCCCTCTCCTGAGTATCAAACTTAATTCTATACGTAGGTAAGACACCAAGCATTTCAGTAATTTCTTAGTTAAGTGGAAGTTCTGAAATACCAGTAGCTAAAATGTAAATTTAGGTCTCTTGGGCTTGTTAAATTCTATGCAAAGGACTACTTATCACATAGCAATATGCATGACCAGTTTAAACCATTCTCTATGATCAAATACGTACTTACTGCAACCATAGGTCTATGTGAAAATTTTAACATTGACAACCTTTATTTTCATAAGCTTTGTCTCATCACATGTACATGGCATGAGAAAAATCAAAGTGAATTTCTTTTTTGTTAGGCAAACTAGATGAATGGCTTGTAGTGAGAAGTAGACTAATGTCTACATTGGAGGGTTTAAAAATAAGATTACTTATAAAATACAAAGGTAAAGGGGAAAATATAAGCAAAGTGGAAAGGAACCAACAAATAGAAAAGACAGCCCTGAAGAAAAAGATAGTTATGAGGATGAATTTTAGGTAAGAAAAAAATTAAACAGGGAAATGGGATATTTTTGTATGAGAAAGAATTCTGTGTGGTAGGATAATTTATTATTTATTTATATTTGTTTATTTGGTCTGAGTTGAATAGTCAGAATGCCCCAGAATGGGAAGAAAGAGCAAAACTAAAGATAAAGCATGTTGCAAAGGGGCTGAGCAGGTGTCAGGTTTGTGAAGAATGAACGTTATGGAAACAACCTGCACTGGACATGTGTGTAGGATACATGTCTGTGCCGGCACTAATGCTACATGTTGCACCTGCATGACTCTCTGAGGGAACTGAGAGATGAGGTTTTGACAGTTGAGCATGAGTGCAAGCAGGATCTTGCCAGGCCAAGGAGTTTGGAATGATGGTGTTTACAAACTGTAAAAACGGGTGCACAATGGAGAACGGATCCTCATAAACCTCCCTGTTTGCATGTGCCTGAGATACGGGCACTGTGATCTCCCATTACCAATCACTTGTTCCTAGGCTTACATTACACCAGAACCCAGCACTTCAGAGAAAGTACTCCATCAAAGGGTAAAGGTGACAGCTCTTCAAATAATAACCACTTCTGCCATTGTACTAATGACAACAGATAAAGAAGGCAAGAAGTAATTGGGGAGGGGCTTGCACCACTGTGTTATTGGGAAGACTTATCATGAAAGAATATGCCAGAACTACAACCTTGGGCAGTGGTCACCACAACCTTACACCAAAAATAACTTCTGCAAGGATGTCTGTTTAACCTTAGATTATTGACCTCCCCCTGCCCTGCCCCCCCCCAGTTATAACTCTTTAAGGAAAGTGTTAGTTTCAAAATACTGTATGTAATCCTGAGGCTGCCCCTTTTAATTTTTTTGGCTTTACCAATGGCACATACATTCTCATTCCAATAGTCTGTGAGCCCTTTTCCCCTTTGCTCAATGCTAGCGCTCTCTCCCCTAACTCAGAGCCTCCCTTGCACCACTTAAGCTAATGTCCTGACAATGAGTAACACTCTCAGTCCAAAGGGAGTCTCCGGGATTTGTTATTTAGATGGACGTACCTTTAGCAGTTTGCCTCCAGAACTAACGTTTATCCATAAGTGATACACACTGACACAAATTTTGGTGTTTTTATGGAGGTATTTCCACGGACAAGAATTCAGTGGATATTCAAACAGCAGCGATGTCCTGTCCCTTCATAAAAATAGATCAAGCAATTCGACAACAACTTTGTGTTTGTTATCTTCTTTGTGTTTTTATTTGTATCTGTGTGTGGGTGCATGTACGTGCATGTACGTGATAGAGTGCACGTCGAGGTCAGAAGACAACCTCAGCTGTCCATCTTCGCCTTCTAATGTCATTCACTGCTGTGCATACCAGTCTAGCTAGTCCCATTTCCTATCTCTGCTGTCCATCTCCCCACAGGGACAGTGTTACTACAGAAGCTTGTGTGGGAAGCAAACTCTGGTTCCTGGGCTTGCACAGCTCCCCACTGAGCCATGTCTCCAGCTGCTGGAATGCAGTTCTTTGAGGCACACAGAATCCAGTCTTTGTTATGTGTTGATTATGTCCCCATATAAAATGCCTGCACTAAAGATGACTAGTTCAGGATGGTGAGAGCGAGTGGCTGGCCTAGAAATCAACTACTGTACTATGCTGTACTCCAGGGACTTGTGGGCACAGGACTGAGAAACCATTCTTCCTTCTCACTGTAATATAATAAAGAACAGGCTACCAACATAACACTGAATTCTCCAAGAGTCTCCAGAAAATGAGCATTTTAAGGTAGGTCCCCCAAACCAGAGAATGAGAGACTTGCAAACATCAAGGAACTCAATTCCCTAAGAATACTTTTTATTGTGCAATTTTCCGGATCTGGATGAAAACATTCAAATGTTGACTTACAAATGTCGGAGTCAGTTACAAATAACTGGAGACAGTCCAGTCCAGTTTATTAGAAAACCTGAAGGCCTGAGATATCACTGAAACATCTTTCACATAAACTTCTCTCGGGAAGAGATTCATAAGCTAGCTGTGTTTGTGCCTGGAAAGCCAACCCCTCTCAAACAAAGACAACACATCTCTGAAATTGCTCAAGTCCACCCACATTCGGGGTCCAGAGAGGACCCGAGAGACTAAGCTGTTAGCAAGTTAAAGCTGGGTCACCCGGTTATGAGAGAGGTTGCGCCAAGGATAAAGATTCCCCAAGGGCGAAACAGTAGACACGCAGTAACATCACTACGCTGCAGACAGCCAGAGAAATCGGGACTACTGTACCACTAGCCATGACTAGGCACGCACGCCCACCACTTCCACGCGAACTTTTATACCTCCCTTTCCACGCCATCCTCTGTATTTCGGAATTAAATCATTGAGCGCGAGTTCTCGTTAGACAACAGCTGTGGGGTGGGGGGGAGAAGCGAGTGCAGGAGGATTAGAACATTACCTTTGCACGTAGTGGATCAGAAACATGGCCAGTAGGACCCGGTTGGGCAGGCTGCCTAGGCGCGCGGCTGCAGGGCGAGCGTACTCAAACAGCGGCCAAGCCATCGAGGGCAGCTCCTGCAGGAACCAGGCGGGTCGCGCCGGCACCTGGCGGCCGGGATAGTGCGACGAGTAGCGGCCGTAGGGAGAGCCCAACAAAGTGAGCGCCGCGAAGGCCACGAAGGCCATGAGCCCCTCTACGTAGGTGAGCGCGTCCAGCAGGCGTAACTCGTCCAAGTCCATAGTTGAGGTCGAGCAGCGTGCTCCATACCTGGGCGTCCAAGTGGGGCCACATATAAGCCCAGGAGGAGGGCGCAGAGCGGCCCACTCTAGCCAGCGCCCCAGCAGCGCGTACCTGCCCAGGGGAGGGGCGAGCCACCTGTTCGGGCGGGGACTGGACGACAAGCTGACACCACCAGACAACGCCCTCCCGCGGGGGTTCCAAAGCAGAGGCCTATTGCGGAGAGCCCTGCCTACGCAGAGAGCCCAGCCCTCCCTCGGGCCCCCTGCGATCCGGAAGAGCTACCCATTGGCCTAGGGCTCCTTTGGCTCGCATCCCCGAGTGGAGGGAGGGCGAGGTCCAAGTCCGCAAGGGCGTGCCCGGCAGCCGGAGCCCCAGCCGAGCCCCACAGTCCAGTTTACACAACTACGGCCCCGCCCCTTGCTCTAAGAGCCTCCCTCTGCGACCCGCTCTGCACCCTGAGGCCACGCCCCCGCAGAAACCACGCCTCTCCAGTCCCCCCCCGCCTCCTCTCTGCGCACGCGCCGCTCTCAGGTCGTCCACGCAGGTGCCTGGGCTCCGCGCAAGACGGGTTGATGCATGCTCAGTTGCCGTGGGGGTTGCCGTGGGGGACACATGTTCCCTGAAGGACAATCACCCATTCCTCGTGTGCGTTTCCTGCAGGATAGAGCTGCATCCTACAAGGCATATTTCTAGACTGCCCCCGCTAGGACCCTGCGCGGGGTCCTTGGGGAGCAGCCGGAAGTGCAGCGTGCGAGCTGGCTGTGCTGGTTCGCTGTCTGCGCTCCGCGTGTGCAGCCGCGTGGGCCATGGGCCGGCGGGAGAGGGGCCGGCGGCTGCAGCCGCAGCCTGAGGGCGCGGAGGACGGCACCGAGGGCGGCAGCAAGCGCGGACAGGCGGTAGGCACCGGGGACAGCGTGGGCTCGGGCGTGCAGGCTTGCTCGTGGGCCGGGTTAGCGGGGGTGGGGGGCTCGCTCACCCCTGGCTTCCCCGTCAGGATTGGGAAGGTGGGTACCCCGAGATCATCAAGGAGAACAAGCTCTTCGAGCACTACTATCAAGAACTCAAGATCGTGCCCGAGGGAGAGTGGGACCAGTTCATGAACTCACTCCGGGAGCCCCTCCCGGCCACGCTGAGGATCACCGGTTACAAAAGGTAAGTCTGTTGTGGTTTTCCTGGTGGGGGGGTGGTGTGGACATCAGGCCCTGGAGGGGGAGATGGGGTGCAGGGGAGCAGCCTGGGCTGCATAGGCGTTGCAGGTGGAAGATCAGAACATGACTAGGAAACTGCTTCCTGCGGGTGAGCGAGTTGATGCGCCCAATGAGGAACATGCAAAACTTGTGGCGCCTAATTTTGCCTCTTCTCCCCGCCCACTACTGTACACAATCCCCCAGATTTGCTCCAAGTGAAAATGAAGCAGGGCAGAAATGCAGTATTTCATTACCGTATTTTTAAGGTGTGTTCAACCTGTGCGCCCAACGCAAAGCAGCAAACTACAGAGGTTTGGGATTTAGTTAAATCGGTTTTGGTGCTCTGCAAATTGAATTCTTATAAATTAACAGCGTCACAGTGTTAGAAGGCTGCACACCCCTGGATGATGAAGGAACATTTCGGAGTTGGTTTTAGTTTTAAAATGTTTTTAGCGTTAAAATTATTAAATTTTATCAACTCAGAGTTTTAGGCCACTATGGAAAATTACTTTTGTTTTGTTTTTCATAGCCATGCAAAAGAGATTCTCCATTGCTTGAAGAACAAGTATTTTAAGGAGTTGGAGGACCTGGAGGTAGATGGACAGAAAGTTGAAGTTCCACAGCCTCTAAGCTGGTTGGTACAAAATCCTCCCTCATCTTGGTTTTCTATTCTATTTATTTATATTATTATCCCTTGGATGCATTTCTCAGCTCTGTAATCGATGTTGACATAAAGAGCCTAGGTGAGCTTTTCCAGCATCTTAAGTTATTTTCCCTGGTGCTTTTACTAACATCAGACTGGTGTGCACACATTCATAAGTGACACCCTTGTCAGTCCTGTTTCCCACACAGAGTTCCGTCAGCTGGTTTTTTGGGTCTAGCCTCTTTGTTGATGTTCCTGAGTGACTTTTCTCACTTATGTGTATAACCCACTTGAGTTTCCCATTGAGAGTTCCCGGGTAGATGTTCTCCATTAAGAAAGGGAGAGAGACTCTGCTTGGCAAAGCCTCGACGAGGGCTGGTGTGGCTTATGTCCCAGTGTCTCCCCACACAGCCTTCAGGCAGGTTCAGTCTTCAGTGTGTCCAGCGGCCATGGTCCCATGATGGGACTTCCTTGTCCTGTGATCCCTGGAGGCTAAGGTGTAGGATGCCTCATGCAATACCGAAAGTGCTCCGTACAGTGAATGGACAAACTTACAGACTTTTAAAATTATGTGTGTCTCATAGTTCGGATTTGGGAATAGAATTTTCATACACACAAAAAGTTTTTTATGTCATTGCTGTGTAAGGGTGAATTTAGTAAAGTCTTTTCTGGTAGCTTTGTAGATTTGGGCAATTTTATGCCTTTTATTTTGAGACAGGGTCTCTTGTAGCTCTGGCCGGTCTAGGTTTGCTCTGTAGACCAGACTAGCCTCGAACTCACAGAGAATGAACACCTTGACTCCCTTCTGTTGGAATTAAAGATCTGTGCCACCATGTCTGGCATTTTGACTATTTGTAAATTGATGTCATTTTTTATTTTTAGGTAGCCTTTTGTGGTCACAACCCAGGATTAGGGCTTTGTCAATCATGGAATATAGATGTCCTTTTCTCACGGGCCATTTAGATTTTCTGTGTCCTTAGCATAGTTAGGCACAGCATATTCACCGATAGGAGTACTGGATATCAGATGCTAAAATCTATGTGCAACAATGATCCAAACCTAATGTCACTGCTGCAGAGTAAGAGTCCTGAAGCATTATACCCGGCTCCCGGGTTATGTGTTTGGACTAGATTTTAAAATCCGGGAAGTAATACATAGGAGAATGACTCGAGCATGCTGCTGTAGTGCAGTTCAAGTCTGTTGTAGTGAGTCAGAACAGAAGCTGTGTCTCGGCTGCTTTGGTCATTGACTGGCTAAGGTATGGAGTCTTCTCAGTGTCTGGCCTTCCTCCCCCTGGTAGCTGGCCAGCTGACTGGCCTCTTCCTAACTTCTCCTTGAGTCTTGGTTTGAGACTGGTGGTAGTGGTGTTTGTACATTGCTTGATGTAGGGGCTTCTGGCACCTTAGTTTCCCGTGGAGTTACTGCTTTACGTCTCACTTGGAGACATTTGTTCTGTAAACCTTGAATAGTGCTTGGGCAGGGAGGCTTTGCAGATGAGAAACCCTCTGTCTGCTGGCCTCAGCATGCTGTTGTAGTCACCATGTTCTCTACTTTACAGTCAGACTCTTTGAACAGCCCTTGAGCACCCAACTGCAGCAAATGGCAAAGTTGCTTTCCCGACTCATTTTCTGCAGTCGTGTACGGGCATGGGGCAAAGCCTTCCAAAGCCCTCAGAGTAAGGTCACGATAGGTGGGGAAGGTCAGAGTGTCTCTATCTCTGTCAGTGGCCGGCAGCTGGCTACTGCTGTGCTTAGTTTTCTGAACACAGCTAGGGTATGAAGAAAGACTGAATGCTTTGGTTCCTAATTAATAGCTTTTCCCATTATCAATGGGTTATTTAATCAGGTTTACATGTTAGTGTTGGATACTTGGAAATCTCAGCAGTAAGGCAGCAGCTTTCTGGGACTTGTGGTTCTGTTCAAAATGCAGCCAGCCACAGGGTATTCTCTCTGGCCAAATATAAAAAGATAGTGCTGCTTCTGTCTTTCATAAAACTTCAAATGGATTTTAAAACCCTTTAAGACACTGATTTTAAAACAACTACATGTCAGCAGATTTTTCTTTGGGCGGCCAGCTCATAAAAAAATGACACAGACTTATTATTAATTATGAAAGCTTGGCCTGTAGCTTAGGCTTGTCCCACTATCTCTTAGCCCATTTCTATTCATCTATGTGTTGCCATGGGAGTTGGGCTTTTGCCTCTCCTCTGCTTCCACTGGCGAATCCTGTCCTCTTTCCCCAGACCTCTCTCTTGTCTGTCCCTGGAAGACCTGCCTAACCTCTTTTCTTATCTAGCTATTGGCCAGGCCACTTAGCTTTTTTGTAAACCAATCAAAAGGTGCTTTGGCAAAGACATATTTTCATGGTGTGCAAAAAGATTATTTCGCAACAAATACACCTGTTCATGATTATTTGGTCTTAAAAGTACATGTTTTAAAATATTTGCCATTGTCTGGTGAGATAGCATAAGCCTTTGATCCCAGCACTTGGGACTCGGTGGCAATCAGAAGTTTAAGTCCAGCCTGGTCTATGTAGGGAGCTCTAATGTAGCCAAAGCTACATGAAATCCTATCTTAATTTATTTATATATATATATATTTTTTTTGCTGGCTACTCTAAAGATATATGGTCAGTTTGTTTTTTTGTTTGTTTTTTTTCTTGTTCATTTTCAGTTTTGCATTTAGCTATTTGGAAGTTTAAAACATTTTACTTAGGAGATCAGTAGCTGCCAGGCTCACTATAGGAGACCTTGAAGCTTATTGTAAACTTACACCTTAACTATTGGTACTAGAAACTGATCCATAGGACCTAGGAAGCAGCTGTTCACTCAAACGATGTGCAGGTTGCTCCCATACTTGAAATGAAAATTCAGTTATTTCTAGTAAGTCTGAGTGGTTCACACTAACAGGCTCTGGTATATGGCATTCACACTGGCGCTCTGGTGAGTGGTAAATGTTCGCATTGACACTCTGGAAAGTAGTAAATGTTCACTCTGACGCTCTGGTGAATGGTAAATGTTCACACTGACACTCTGGACAGTGGTTAATGTTCACACTGACACTCTGGAGAGTGGTAAATGTTCACACTGATGCTCTGGTGAGTGGTGAATGTTCACACTGATGCTCTGGGTTGTGGTATATGGATGTCATTCACACTGACACTCGAATGGTATATGGTGTTCACACTGATGCTCTGGTAAATGTTCACACTGACGCTCTGGTGAGTGGTATATGGTGTTCATAATGACGCTCTGGTGACCTGGCGATTTGTACAGTTTACTGTCATTGGACACAGGCAAGTTGGGGGTTGCCAGAAATTATATAATAGTTGGCATG